GGTGATTTTTTTTTTTTTTTTAATCGTTGCAGCAGCACGCTCAGTGAGCCAGTATGTTTATGATAGCCGCAGGTCTCTTCCCCTGTGACTGTAGGGTTTGATCATGCCAAACGTGTTTACTTGAATATTCGAAAGAGAAAGAGGAGGAGGAGGAAGAGGGGGGTGGGAAGTGAAAAAGGAAATAAAATGACAGTGAGTGAGTGTGGTGCCATTTGCGTATTAACTGCTACCTACATATGCAAACCTGGAAAGTCTGAGAATATACAGCCACGGATGACACAGTTTGCAGCTTTTTGCTTTCTTTCTTTTTTTTTTTTTACACCCATGGTCATTTCACACAACTAAACAATAATCTTTAGTTTAAACAAACTGGCTGCCTGCACAGCTGCCGTTCGTTGGCCACCCACTATCTACATAAGAGTCAGCGCTGATAAGATCCTGTCTGGAGTTTGTAGAAGGAAAATGTGTAGGCATCTTCTACATACTTTGAGTGATATTCAAAAATCTTTCTTTTCAATCACAAAATGACTCCTGAGTAGGTGGGATGACTGAATGATTCACTGACCGTGTCTCGCAAATACACTGTGGAGGAAAACCACCAAGAAAAGGTGGTGAGAAACGAGCCTACATTAGATGAGTAAGAAGACACATAGGAAGAGCTCTTTCCTTTTCTGGTTTTATTTTTTAGTCTAAAAAAACAAAGGAAGCCTAAATGCACTAGTTAAGTTACTCAAGGTGATGAAATGCTTCAATAGCAACTAGGGCTGCACGATTTTGCATAAAATGAGATCACGATTCTTTCACGATTTTCTTTTCCAATATAAATATTTATTGCACTTATTAACTGCACATCAACTTCGTAACAGTTGAGACTGAACATAAAACAACAAATGTCTCACATTTTGTTGTTGCCGCAAAATGTACTGCTTGAAATTCCGTCTCCGCCGTTGCTCGACGCTGCGTGTATAGAGCAGGTAGTGCAACAATAGAAAAATAGTTGCGGGACAGCACTGTGTAGCGTTTGTCTAGGGTGTTGATCATTTTCCTAAATCCCTCGTTTTGCACAGTGTTGATGGGAGCCATATCTTTGGTCAGGTGATAAGTGATAGCCTCCGT